ATATGTTGTGTCCAGTCCATAACTTTCTTATCTTTGAAGGGATTTTGTAAGTACTTGCCACAATTGTTTACAATAATAAGACAATGTGTCGTGTGCAACAATCGGTCACCTAACTCCAAGGTCAAGGTCACACTTGGAGGTCAAAGATTAACATAGTCTGTTATACAGTATATTTTGTGTCTGGTCCATAACTTTTTCATAGATCAAAGGATTTTGTAAACACTTGCCACAAATATTCACTATAATAAGACGACGTGTCATGCGCAACACCTGCATCCCTACCTCCAAGTTCAAGGTCACACTTAGAGGTCAAAAATTAACATAGTCTGTTCTAGGGTATATTTTGTGTCCGATCTAGAATTTCTTCGGGATTTTGAAATACCTTGGCACAAATTGTCACAATAAAAAGGGGATATGTCAAGTATGTTAGGAATATCTAATATAGGTGTCTAAGACCGTTCAGTTTTGGCGGTATGTTACCGGTTATCCGTCCGGTACGCTGTGTCAGAGTTTTATACGATACAACCATAGGCACTCGGTTCCACAACTTTCTATGATTTTTAATTTCTTTAAAAAAAAATTTAATTTGTATATAAAATACTACAAGGTTTCTCAGCCGCCATGTTTTAAAGCAACGGAAGTGCATTGTCTGGTTTACAATTTTTATAAATATTACTGGCTCCCCAGTCACTTTTAAAAGAATATTGTCGATGCGGGTACCACGGCCAAATTGTCAATAATTGTTGTACCCGTTTTAGCCTACAGTCTCTATTCATCGAATCGGGAACTAGTGTTTAATTGGAAATTGTAAACCAGTCAATGCACTTCCGTTGCTTTAAAACATGGCGGCTGCGAAACCTTGTAGTATTTTATATACAAATTAAAAATTTTTTTTTAAAGAAATTAAAAATCATAGAAAGTTGTGGAACCGAGTGCCTATGGATACAACGTGTTCTTAACGTTCATGTGTTTTCAGTCTTTTCAAGCTGGGTTTTTTGTCATTTGTGCAAGTTGCACACCACAACAGTGTATGTATTTATTCCCCACATATCTTGCCTTTTATTCTCTGTTAACATTTATTGTAAATTTGGATTAGAAATCCATATCAAACTTTTTATATGGTTTCGTACCCAAAAGGTTCGTACTTTGGTTTTCGCACTTGTAATAGCTTGTACGATTAATAGCTCATATTAATATCTCATAATAGCTGGTATTATATAGATATTTGGGTTTCATGGTATTTTAGAATAATGCTATACTGCAATACAATAGACTTTATTGTTATAAAAACGTCATGTTTTAGTCATAATTATTATTATGATATATATATATATATATATATATATATATATATATATATATATATATATATAATATATATATATATAATGATTATTATATCATAAGATTTTTACTGTATTTTCAGTATTAAACCGTACACACTTGGATCGTGTTGGTTTGCTTTCGCCACTTAGGGCAGAAAAAAGTACAACACCTGCACCCCTACCTCCAAAGTCAAGGTCACATTTAGAGGTCAAAGTTTAACAGAGTCTGTTATTTGGTATATTGTGTGTCCCGTACATAACTTCTTCATAGATCAAGGGATTTTGAATATACTTGGCACAAATAGTCACAATGATAAGATGATATGTCATGCATAGCATCTGTGTCCCTACCTCCAAGGTCAATGTCACACTTAGAGGTCAAAGATTTACATAGTCTGTTATAGGGTATATTTTGTGTCAAGTCCATACTTTTTTCGTAGATCAAGGGATTTTAAAAAATACTTTGCACAAATAATCATAATGATAAGATGATATGTCAGGCGCAAAACATGGGTCCCTACCTCCAAGGTCACACTTAGAGGTCAAAGATTAACATAGTCTGTATAGAGTATATTTTGTGTCCGATTTATAACTTCTTCATAGTTCAAGTGATTTTGAAAATACTTACAATAATAAGACGATATGTCATGCACAACACTTCTGCCCCTACCTTCAAGGTCAAGGTCACACTTAGAGGTCAAAGCTTAACATGATAGATTTTTAAATTCTGTGTTTCATTTTATTTCTTTAATAAATTTATTGTTGCATTTACAGATATAGCATTGATCATAATTTTGGGCTGAAAGTCCTGAGATTCATTCCTCAATCTTTTGAAATAGCACAATTTTATGCTTCATATAAAACTTCCCCGAGGCGGGGGCGTTGGTAACTATGTTACAAATTCTTGTTTATTTAGCTTTGTTCATCTTTTCTGTGATACACATGATCCATTACCCCTTTTAAAATGCCATTTTATTTAGTAACGTCCATTCTTTTCTCGTTTAGATCCCTCCATTTTGTAATTTGGGGAACATTTTTCATGCAATGGCTCTAACATGTCACAATGAAGTTTTTCAGGACAACCGTCGTAGGCATCCGTAATTGTTTTTTTTTATTTAAGTCCTCTATCGATAAACCGGAGAGGACTTTAGGTTTACCCTCCGTCTGTCCGTCCGTCAGTCAGTCAGTCCGCCCGTCCACAAAACTGGATCGCATGATAGCACAAAAAGTACTGAAAATATTTTAACTTGATATATGGTAGTATTGAAATTATGCATTTCTTTTCTTTTCTTCATAGTTTGAAAAATAGATTTAAAATTCGGCAAATTTAACACAAAAACCGAATACCGTAATAAGGCAAAATAATATTTTATTGGAATTTGAAATGGGTAGCTGGCTGCATGAAAATTAAAAGAATCACTTTAAAGACGTTTTCGGTAGTTTTCTGTGCGCATCGTTATGCGCTTCTAAGAAAGATAATCACGGATAATTACTCTTCAAAATGAAGGTCAAGTTGAATAGTATTCGGATAAGTGTTTAAATTTCGGCTATAAGCAAATAATGAGTAAATAATACAGAATAGATATTTCTAAATGTTCAGGGGGAGATCGGTTCAAAATAATAAGAGGTCGTTTAGACAGCATCACATAAAGGATTTCTCCTAGCATAAGTACGACAGCATTGATGATAATTATGCGCTCGTTACCCCACCCACTTGTGGTATAGTGACGAAAGTGCGTCGCCACTTGATTACTGGCAGACAACTGGGCAAAGAAGTTTAAAATGATATATTTTAAAAGTGTTGAATAGAAAACAAAATTAATATGTAAGAAATGTTCCGAGCTTCATTATTTTCTTTGTAAATTTCTGAATACTTGCTTACTGTTCGGGTATATTAGTCGAGTGTAAAAATAATATGGCCCTAAATATGTTTTAAAAACATATTCAGTATCATTTACTTAATGTTACATCAAAAGAAAAAGAAATTTTTATTACAACATGTTTTTGTTGTATATTTGACAATACATTTAGTATAACATTGATATTTCTTAAGGTGATTCCGCTTTGTCAGCCATGTTTGTTTTCACAAAGTCTGTCCAAAGTGAAAGTAGGCCGAAATTCATATAACAACAAAGCTCACATTGTTAAATGATGAGCCATTTGCAAGTACACTTCCAGTTCTATATTTTAAAGACTATTTTAAACAAAAATAAAAATGATAACAATAAGAAAATTAAACTTGAATGGGCTAAATTTCTGAAGACCAAAAACATTCTGTTGCAAAGTTTTATGCACATTTCATGAATGGCAAAATCCTTTTTAAAGTCTGTTTTAGTGCGTACAAAAGCTATGCTTTGCAAAAAATACAAAAAACTTTAAAAAACATAAATCTTAGGAAAGGAGTTTATCTGCGGTATGACTAAATACCGAATATGAATTCATATTCGCGAATATTTTTTAATGGAAGTACCGAATATGAATATTATTTCCTTAAAATCAGCTGTTATGGGATTACTTACGTCAACAGAGACTTTAAATTACTTGTAGCATATGTATTTTAATGAAAGAAAATAAATTCTGATCTTTTGGTTGTAAATTAATTACTGTGACCAAAAAGTTACCCGAATATGAACGAGAATGACAAACATGAACCTTACTATTTAAACAGTATGTTAAATAGCTCACAAGAGTATATAAATAGATATTTCAAACTATAACTTGAAATAAAACTTTGTTTTAACAAAGATGACAGTTTAAATTTGCTAAGTAATTAAATTACTGTGACTTGCCATACAGTACTGTAAAGATTTAATTCATATTCGTGACAGAATAATTATAAGAACGAGGATACCGAATATGAATATTATATAGATATAAATTAACTTTGTCTGAAATAGTTACGTAAACAAAGACTAATAATATATACTTGTATCATGTGACTGTCATTGAATGAAATTAAATGAATTTAATGCATTGGTTGCAAATATTTGTGACCAGAAAGATACCTGAATGACAAGAATACCAAATATGAACATTAGTTTGATACTGTATACATGCACATAAAAACAACGCTTATAAAATATACTAATTATGCTTTAATTTTTCAAGTAACTAATATTCACTATGGTGTAATATTTGACCCTATGCCAAAATTTTATTAAAGTAATATTCATATTCGGTATTCTCTTCATATTCACATGGCCACCATGACATGTGTAAAAAAGTAGTACCATGAAAATAAACACCATTTACCTATTTCTTGTGTACATGACAAACAGACACACTTCACTGTTACACATAAAAAAGGTTAGATTTTAAAGTTTGATTTTGTTTTCATTTTAATTGTAGTTCATAAGGCTATAAATGATGATTGTTTTCTTGCACTACTTTTATACAAAAAATAATGGAGGCCATGTGCTTAGAAGGACATGAGATACGGATTTATTTGGAGTTAAGTTTTGAAAGATTTTTGTATTTTTTCACCATTTGAGACAACAAAAAGTGGGGGGATGAAAAAGGCGTTAAAAGGCGTGTATATCGCGTAATGGGTTAAATTGTAATCACAGTTTTTTTACATAAATCTTAAAACTCATACTGAACATTCATACAATTCATTTTATTAATAACTATCATTAAGCATAATACTCTTTTCAGGAAATACAGATGTCTCTTAAATAAATAGTTAGGCATGATCAAACTAATCTTATGTTTTTATAGACAGAAATCTGCCTTAAGCAATACATTCATATTCGACATTCAATGAATTGCATTTAAATGGACGTCATATTGAATTTTAAAGCGGTATGAAACAAGCTTTTGTAAGATTTGGATTTTTGACAAATATTTATCAAAATGTTTAATGTTATTTGCCATTAAGCGTTTATGGGTGGTACACATTTAACATATCAACTTGAAACATGATCACGATTGTGTCATCTCTAACATACTTTGCTGTTTCCAACACAGTATGAGATACAAATAGTGGACATCCTGAAGCAATATTCATGTCTGTTGTTGGTTTTCTGCTACTTGTTGGATCTGGTCTGAACGAGTCAGAAAGGTTGCACTGTCCTGTCTCCTGGTCAAGAAGTGTCATCGTTACCTTCTGCTGGAACGGCCATGGCAACAGGTTATCATACTCACCTCTCATAACAACAAAGAACAGGCTCATGTGACTTCCTTTTCCCATACCATCTCCGTTAAGATATACCTGTAGGAGAAACCAAAACTATTACAGTTCAATTATAGTGAAGATATATATAGAAAATTCATGCAAAGATTTTTAACTGAATCACCTATTCAAACAGCACCAGTAGAGCTTCTATGTAACAATCATGTATTGTAAACATGCTGATTAAAAATGCATTTATTCAAATTCCCATAGAATTACATTACACAAAATGTTATGATTACGTGGTTTAAAATAAAATTTCCCAAATGAGTGCACCAAGGAGATAAAAACTGCCTGAATCAAAAATGTAATTGTAAGAAATGTACATTAATGAAGTAAATCTAGAAAGCGACAATATCCACACATATAAAATACAAAGTTTGACAACAGAAACTTGTGACATTTTTTAGCAACAATGCTAAGCGCAAAACGGCTGTAACTCAATTTAAGCAAATTTTACAGGAGCATGAAAAAACTTTGTAAAGCTTTTGTTAATGAATAAAATTATTTTATTTTAGGAAAATATATACATCTTAGTTAAGGAATTAGAAACAAAATAATAAAAAAGAAGCAAATTATTTTTGAAAAAAGATATTTGAATAAGTTCAAGTTACAACCGTTTTGATAATTTGTTACATATTTTTTTGTGCAAAAGGGTAGTATCTCAAGTTACAACTGTTTTCCGCACAAATTTTGAGCAATTTTAATTATTTTCTTTGTGCAAAAAGGAAGTATCTCAAACTCATATCTTTTTTATAGGATTTAATAATTGGATAAAATAAAATATTACTTCTAAATCACAGAAAATATATGTAGCCATTATAAAATAAGATTATAAAATAAGTGCAAGTCTTGTTTTGAATGATGAAAATAATGAAAGTAAGTATAATCAGTGATAAGTTTGATTATTATACATTATAGAGAATCAATGTCCGCAATAGAGAATAATATAGCCTATACCACTTTATTTAAAAATATATATATAGTTAAGGATAAGCTAAAATTATTTTTGATGGTTAATTATAAATGCTATTCTATGGAATGGTATAAATGCTATCTTAGACACATGTACATGTATTTCAAAATAAAAAGTAAGGTTTAGCCACCCTTTCAGCTGCTGGGCATTTAATCCATACCCCAATTGATATTATAAAATTATGGTCTTCAATTTTAGCAAAATCATTCAAAATCTTTTAGATTTCAAAATGTTATAAAGGATAATAACGCTGGCTCTGATCTTTACTGGTTGCATGATAGAATGTGTGACACCATTAGCAGGTTTAGAGTTTAAGCTGAACATTTGAAAAATATTTGTTTGGAAATATGACAAGAGACACCATAACAACTGTGAATACAGTCATGGTCCTCATTATGTGTCTTGACTTAAAGCTACAGTCTCACTGACATCCCGGCAGAGCCCCAGTAGACTTCTAGGGCTCTACCAGGAACAACAGGGGTACATCCCTAACTCTGCCGGCAACGTTTGGGGTGATCCGGGAACATCCGGCATTCGACATTCAATATCACCGGGGTGGTCTGGGATGATCCGGGAAGTAAAGCTTTGAAGGCTTCATCCTAAGCTCTGCCTGGAATGTCCAGGGTTACACCGGGGAAGCACAGTAGCTCTGCCGACACAAACCGGGGATGATCCCCGGGTATATAGCCAGTAGAGCTACGGCAGAGCCCTGGTGAATGCTGGCAGACCCCCGGTAAATGCCGGCAGAGTCCTGGAGGATGCCAGCAGAGCCCCGGAGGATGACGATGGAGCTACGGTTGATCCAGGTAGAGCCCCGGCAAGGCCCAGTTCATTTAAAAAGAATCACAACAATTTGCAATGATCGCACTTGTTTGTATTAAAACCCTTCCCATTTCCCTCCTATCAGGTATTGCATAAGGATTTTTCAGAAAATCATCATGAATTACTGTTCTGGAACAATAGATATTATATTAAATGAAAATTATGTATCAATGTTATCAATTTTTGCGGTAGTCTACTGGGGGTCCCGGATAATCCCGGTAACTTACCGGGTTGGTCCTGGGCTCTGCCGGGAGTAAGTGAGACCATAGCTTCCAAAATTTATTTGGGGGCTGATAATCAAAATTTTTACTTGTTTTACCTTTCAAAATTTTAAATTTTTAATTTTCAATTAAAGTAATTTGTCCTTCTAAAGGGAAATTCATAAAATCTTAGAATAAACTTTAAAAAACCTAGCCCCTGACCAAATTTTACTTTAAACTGTAGAAGTGTAAAATTCTAAAACCAAAAAAAAATTTTTTTTTTACTTCTGGGCATTTTTGGTTGGGAATAAATTTCCAACCAAAATTTTCTTGATCTTCAAATTTAACTTTTATAAAAGGGCATTGAAAAAAAACACTTGTTTTCAAACAAAAAATATTGAAAATTTTGTTAAACTTCACATATAGTAAGGTGAGGACTATAATTTTTATAGAAAGCCAGGCTCTGATTTTGAAAAGGTTTTTTGGTTTTAATTTCTAACCCAAAACGGGGTTATGAAGTCACACTTCCTGTATTTTTGTGTGTTTTTTTTTCTTAATTATTGCAAGAATTGAATTTATTTCAAATTGTTTTAATCTACTTTTAGGATAACTTTTAAGTAGTGTGGTGTTTCCTTTTGTTTTATCAAGATGTTTTCGTAAGTACTCGGACATATGGACGTTGGACAATCGCAAGTTTTTCTCTAGAACGCATATTTTTCAATGGTTTCTTGGTGACATTATGCAAACATATACGGTTTAGCGCATACACACTACAGATGTAGTTAATAAAAAAAGTACACAGATAGTATACACAAAAAAAAATGATTTGCACGAGTTATTAGAGAAGGGCAATTTTAAAATCAAAAGAAATAAAGTCAAACCTATGAGTTTATAATGTCTATAATGTTTTGAAGCAATGTCTTAATTACTGCTTGTGCTAAGAGGGATTCTTAATTAAGACCATTTAACAACTGGTTATATTATTAGTTATAAAAAGATTGTTGACAGGTTATATGGCCCTATATAAGTGGTTGTTTGTAAATATAACCCGAGCCGTTAGGCAAGGGTTATATTGCAAACAGTCGTTTATATACGGCCATATTACCTGTCAACAATCTTTGTAACAAATTTATAATACAGCAAGCATTTTTTTAGAGAAAAAAGTAAGATGCTTTTATGAATCGACAGCAGCTGTGTATATAAAACTATATAAACATCAGGATTATCCAATGAAAAGCAACGTTACAAACGTGCAGTATTATAAACATTCATAAAGATTTAAAAGTAGATCAAAAGTTTTCCGAATTTACTGGCTATAGGGTCAAATGAACTGCTGAATGTCTGTAATAGATTTGCCCTGATTTGTATTTGGAAAAGTTAATCAAATCAATCAATTAATCAATTAATATACAGGTACTAAAATTGAGCTGTCCACAGTACAGAACCTGAACTAAGTGCACAGGTGTTCAGGCTGGCCTGGATCTATACTTGTGGCAAGAACTGATCATTTCCTGTTCCAACATGTCAAGGGTTAAAGACTTAATTAATAGATTGCCACAGAATTAAAACTGGATGTTTATAATATTAAAACATGGTCCTCTTCAAATTTGGTCTTACCCTGAATTTGTGATATAGAGTTTAATATGGACTTCTTTTAGGCAAATTCTACATTGTATGTGGAAACAATCATATTATAAACTCTTAAGCTATGTTTTTGCTATTTCATTGTTTCAAGGCAGTGTCATTCCATGGTTCTTTTTTAAGTATGTCATTTGCGTCAATGGTTTGTTTGGGGATTCTAACAATGGTCTTGGTTCCTGCCACTTTGTCCATTCCCTTCTCAGTTTTTCCTCATTGTATTTCAAAGTGTGTCTTTAGTTTGTATAGTTAGAGATTACACCCCCACCTCCCTCTCTTCAATTTGGTCCCATATCCCCTTCCGTTCTTTTATCTTTAATTATACTTTTATGATATACTATTGTAGTTCTCTAATTCATTCACAATAATAATATGGTTTTTGAGAATGTAAGATGCTTGTACCATGAAGAAAATGGTGATAAATGTAATATATTTTATCATAAAAGTAGCAAAATGTAATCAAAGCATTGGCAGTATTGACTTCCACAAAGAATATTAATTCACTGTAACTGTACTTCTTTCAAAATTGCAAAAGATGATAAAGATTGATCAGGTAATTTGCAATGAGTAACTATCTTGATAAGAACACTAAAATTTAGAAGCTTTTGAGAAATAAAAAGAAAAGCAATTCTGAAACGTTATGGGTCTGAGCTAGGTGGCCTTGACATACCTTCCATGAACATACTTTGTGCCTGCAACAATTTCAGTTTTGCTGCTATGAGCATAAACTGGAGATATTCTGAATTAGATCTACATGTACTTACATTATTTTTCAAAATATGGAAACGTTTTTCTGCCCTGTAAAAATAAGTACGGCGCTAATTTTCAATCCATAAGGGGCCAAATCTGTCCACCTTGTCATTTTTTAAACTGTATGTGTTATTGGGGTTGGAGGCTGGGGGGGATATGGACATTTTTGTCCTTCAATATTTGAAAGTTATTTCATTTACTTAATATCAAACAATTGCTGATTGTGGCAGTGGATCTGTTTCATTTATTGGAATCAATTTATGAGATTGAACTATATTGTAATATACATTTAAATATACATTTGTATTTCATGAAGATAATATGTGATAATATAATACACAATTTAGTTGGGTTTTTTACCAATATTTAAGGTTTATTTAGATATATCAAAACAAAAAATCTTTTCTACTGTCTTTATATCCTTCTTTTCATGTGATGATTCAAATAAGACAAACAGAATGCTAATTTACTTCCATTGCAATATCAGAATTTTCAGCGCAAAATGGTTGTAACTTGAGATACAACCGTTTGCACTGAAAATTAAGAGCAATTTGAGATACAACCTTTTGACAAATATTGATTTAACTTGTTAATTTTCAGAATCCATTTAAAATACTCACTGAGGATATGCATAACCACAAAATACATTGAAAATGTTAAAAATGTCATTTTGTGGAAAAAAGTGAGTTACAACCGTTTTGCGCTAAGCCCGTGATGTGATAAAAAGAATATCATATCCGTGTAAGTTGATTACTAAATTGATTGAACTCGTTGAATAAAATAATATCTTGCTCGGCAAAGGCTTGCATATTAAAGTTTTGTTCAAATCTTCAATAAATTCAGTGTTGAACCTGCACTCATTCAATATCCTCTATATACTACATAAGTAGAACAAATAAACACACACTCTCCCGATAAGGCAACTAAATATAAGAATGTGTGTTCTGGATCGTAACATAGTCCGCAGTAACATTCATGCATTATTGTTTTGTTGCATAAATTACAGTGAAATGTTTGGACCTATCATTATATCAATTTCAATAACGTACCCTTGCACACATCTTATAACCATATCTGTGGGTGTAAAATGGCTGACTGTACAATGAGAGTGTTCTCCCTTGAACTGCGTCTTGTTTTCTCCGAGCATAGTCCCTCAACTTCCACATTAGCGTACCATCATAGCTTGCTGTCTCCAGGATCTGAAATCTCAGGTCAAGTTCTGCCATCTGAACATCTAACTGTGCAAATTGGCTGTCATGCTTGTCTATTCTACGCTTTAACTCTGGAGCTTTAAACAAAATAAATAACTTTATTCTATACTTCTATACTTTCCATATTTTCACTGGTGTTTTGCTGGACTACTTTCTTCTAAATTCAGTCACTACACAAGATATAAGGGAAAGCCTTTCAAATTGTAATATCAAAAATTAGAAAATGTACATAATAAACAGAAAATTCGTGTTTATTCAACAGATACAGTATGCATTTTCATCATGTGGTATGAAATTATCATATTTCTCTCCTGACTACCGCCACTCATGAAATATCTATTTTCATACCAGTCGATGAAAATTAAAACTGCATTTTTAGAAAAACTTGAATAACCTCTATGTAAAAATAAAAATATAAATATATAACCAACGTTCGGTCTTTCATATGCAGTTCCGATTAATAATAGGCTCAATTAAATAGAAGTCATTATATGGTTTAAAAATCACAATAATGATTGGATTAAACTTTATAACCTTCTTATTATTCAAGCGTTTTTCTTTATGAAATATATTATTTACCGAATTTTAGCCTCAGAGAAAGAAAATAGTTTAGATAAAATTTCTAAAAATACTTTTCTTTGCATATAAATAAGAGTAATATTAAGCATTTGATGTAGATGGTCGATTTTCATTTATGAATAATTTATATCATAAGAAATAAGAAATGTTTAGAGACAAAGAGGACACAGCTTGAATGACCCTATTCTAAATATGTTTGTCAGAAGGAAATCAATGATGTTTAAACACTGAACTGTTGCTGCAGACAGATATTCTAACAAATATCATTAAACTTAAATGAAAACGTATTCAAATATTATATTAAATTTTGTTAATGACTGTATAAAACAATATTCACTGTGTTTGTGAGCTGTGTAACATGCAAAAGTTTGTTTCAATATTTGTTTAAAATAAAATGCTCTTATTATAAACCACAGTGATTAAAATAATATAGAACCTATGACGATTGTACAGTATGTTATGTATCCTTCATAACCCAGAAAATACTCTTAGACATAATGTATACTTTAAAGTTAACGTCACATATTTTACCTGATGAGATTTCACCTGAGCCTGATCTTCCTTCATTTAAATATAATCTTTCAAGTTGAACAACTTGTGCCCTAATCTGTGTCAGAGATGTCTGCATGGTTCGTACATCTCTATCATGACGTTCAACAATGTCTTTCTTAGCAGTATTTTCTAGTTGCTTCTCCAGATGAATTACACGCTCTGTTACTGATACCATTTTTAACTTGAATAATCAATTTACAATGGACATATTAACCTTTGTTCAAGATATTAGTTTAATAGAAAAAGACAATTACAAGTGAAAGCAAGGTTTAAGATGATACGGTATATTCGCCTTCCAGACAGCAACATTAACTTTAAAAAACACTTTATTGTCTACGAAGAAGACAATGCTCAAATGAGAATCACTTACAAGAGATCGGCGTAACGTCATCATTCTACAGGGGGATATGTGTCTCTTAGTCGTTGTTATATATTCTAAAGTTTTCATAAGTCGTTCGTCAATGATTATTTTCTTCCATGTTTAGGAAGGAGTTTCTTTATTAGTTAATGTTCTTGGCCAATTTGACTTCTGATAGATATTTTTCTTCAATTGTGATAAGAAACGACATTGACATGCCATTTTTTATATATCCTTATGAATTTAATAATAAAGTCATAATAGACAAAAACACATTTCGTGACAATCTTTACCTTTAATTCCTTACATAAATTCATAGTCTTCTCAAAATTGTTTTTCATCAGCGTCATTTCTTGATTCATATTATTAACCTGTGCACGAAGCTGATCTCTTTCTGATTGTACTACCTAAAATATATGAACAATAAATATTTTAGACTTGGAATCTTACGTTCTAGCAAACAATGAATAAACTATATAAAAAGGTACAGTTTTTAAAGTCATGTGCGAAGCCTTATAACTGCTAAGGCTTCACTAGTAAAACAATTTTGAAAAGTGGAGTGTCTTCGAAAAGGATAAAATAATAAATGAATAAATATGTAAAATCAAAAGTAACGTATAGAAACATAACACAATTTGACGACGGAAGATTATTGACTTTTCTAGGTGGGATACCACCAACTGTCCTTTAATCGTATGCCTACAGTGGTTCGGCGGGGGAAATGTGCACGTAAATCATATGTTTGTTTATAAATGCATAAACTGATATGACTGAGAAGATGATAAGATATTCAAAGAAGACAAATAAAATAGAAAAAAAGGAATCCTAAAAGACGCTGAAAACGACAAAATTGAAACTTTTGCAGGCTCTGTTTGATTGAGCCTGTTTATGGACGGTACTTGGAAGTGCAAGTTACTGTCCACACCCCCTAGCACCGGCTTAAGCAGAATTCAACATTTAAACAAAATGGTGAAATCTTGAATTAAGAAACATCCACAAAAGTGTTCATACGGCAGTTATCATGGTACCATCAAATTGACACTTTCGTGCCATTCCATGAAAAGTGACGTATGGCTACTAAGTAAAGGAAAGCGTGTGCCTAAAATTGTTTAAAAAAAAAGTAAAAAATTATACGAAGAAAAACACTTACCTGAAGTTCCCTTGAACATTGCACGGTTTGATCCCCCACTCTTTTAGCATAATCAGTTGTTAATTTTATATGTCCGTTTAAGTCACTGGTTAAATGATTTTTTACCTCTTCCTCTGTACCCTGTTTTACAACATAATGACTTTTACCAATGTAAATGTGCTTTATATTTAACTAACTGGTAAATGTTAGAAATAAATTTTTATTATTACCGTACCTTTTTTACTCTAGGTTAAATGTATCATATTTATCATTATATCATTATTATTATTATTTGATAATTTTTATTTTGCTTTCTTTATTTGTTTGTTTATATAGGTTTAATTTGCTAACAAACATAGATTTAATAAATTGAAATAAATACATTGGACGGTATACAATAAATTACTTATACTATCCATGAAAATGAAATACATTATTGGTTACAGTAAAATTGAGAATTTAACTCACCATGAACGTACAGCCAACACATTTATACTGACATTCTCTAGGCTTCATGTGGCATATTTCCTTGTGATTATTCAGCTAAAGCAAAATAGGTCGATTTAAAAACATTTTAGAAATTGAAAAATTTACTTAAACAGGAACACTAATTGTCTTTTAACGAAGGTTTCGAAGTTGATCATGAACGTGTATATCATATATGTTTATTGAACTATAACAATGTTCATTAAATTCACTATTAGACACTTTCTTAGTAAGAAATTACTGTTACTCAATATCTAATTTCATACTTTTTAAGAGCTTATTTCCAGAATGCATAAACTAAAACATTCATTATCCTGCGATGACAAAATGTTGTATTACTAGTTGATGTATAACGAGATACAAGTAAATGTACAAGTTGAATACATTTTTCTTCTTTCTTTCTTTCTTTCTTTCTTCTATATTATACAATAACAATAAACAATCAAATGTTTCGGAGAAATAGGGAACAAACAAAACTAAAATTGTGTGTTTGATAATTAAATGATGGAACATTTTTAAGGGTAATCAGTGAATGAAAACAAAATATTGTCAATAACAACATTATAAATATCTTATCGGTAAATTAGTAACTAAAATAAAATTATTAGCTGCAATTCAGAATAAATTATATTACCTTTGTGTAAAAGAAATAATTTTACCTCAACTCTCGTCATTTTTGGGCTACCGCATTGATAGGGACACGGCATGACAACAGATGTGCATTCATCTTCTATGTGGCTCTAAACAATAAGAATAAATAATAAACATAAGAATTTATTTCTTAAACTGGGAATACTTTTTTTTAGATGTATGTCCTAATAAATGTAGTTCTAGATTAATACTTTGTGTGCAAGATTACAGACTTATCGCTCTCAGGGCTTAATAATTAATTTTACAAATAAGCCATGATGAAATGTTTCAACGATTTTTACTGAAATCGCACATAAATATGATTCCTATTCGAAACTAAGTAAGTATAATAATCGTTAAAACATCAATACATTTATTTTGACGGAATATGATTATTCTTTATTTCATGAAAGGAATATCTCTTTCTTATTGTTTCCATGTATATTTTACTTTATATTTCAGCAACCTGTATATATTACAATCTGTCGGACACATATATGGTAATATATGTTAAACTGCAGAGCTCCTAGTTGACCTACATCGGTATGTAAGCCTTGAAGGATATAACATCACTTAATGTGTCTCAGAGAGAAACATTCCTTATACTATCATAATTCATAAAGAAAAATTCAAAAATAAAATTAGAATGTGCTAAATTACCTGCATAAGCTTTGAAGGAACAAACTTTTTACAAAACGTGCATTGTTCGGGCTTATACTCACAATACTTCTTTAAATGAATGTTCTTTTCTTTCGGGGGTATTCTTTTATTGCAGCCACTATTTGGACATGTGACTGGTTGATACTTGCAAGTCTGAACATGATTCTGTAACATAGATGATTGTGAAGATATTGATATGAAAGTTCAAAAACTACAACATACTTTCAATACGCTGACATTGTATTACTCGAGCCTTTAAATAGAATAGAATAGAGTAGAATAGAATAATATTAAACTGAATTGAACTGAAAATAATTGAATAGAATGAAAAAAGAAAGGTTTGTGTCGCGGTGAGGGTTAGATGAAGGCTAGCATTATAGTGATCATACACCATTTACATATCAACTTCTGCGTCTTTCAGACTAAAATCAACTTAATGGCCGATATGTTAACGCGTCGGAGTAGTAATGAAATGATTGCTGGCCGCGTGGGTTCAAAGTCCTTCAGAGGCAAGCCATTGTTTCCTTGTACTTTACATGCATTACTTAATACTGGTTGGTACTGGTGAGTTCCAGGAACGGATTCAAGAGTGTTTCAATAAGCTTATAGCTTCGAACACAATCAAACTAAAAGAAATTTGGTAGACAAAAATGTAACTTAATGATGCATGTGGACAATTGGACTGTTTGAGCATATGACATCATGCATATGTTGTTACAAATCAATAAAACACAAATAAAACTAAAACTTTACAGATAACGCCTTCCATTTTATTTCATCTATGCATCCAAAGCTCACAAAGTCACATGACACGAGGAGGTCTCTAATTTCTCGGCGACTACTTGGATCTTGAGTTATCTAAAATGAAACGCCTTTTGAATAAATATTAGCGGAATATCAATATACATATTTTTAAAATAGAAGAAGAATCAGAATAATAAGTTAAAATCTTAATTCCGGTTTAATTAAGTCTGTCCAATTAGACAATAAAAGATTGAAATCTTGATAGCACAATACAACAGAGTGCGGGACAAATATGTCTGAGACCCATAAGATACTCTGAAGGAAATATGAGACGTTGGCCTAGCTGCGCAAAGCTAGACGCCTAAACTTTTAAAATTACTGAATTAAAAGGAAAAACATTGTAATGAAGTTCTTATGGCATTTCTTGTCATTTAAAAGATATTAGCAGAAAAATCATTTTGATAGATGTTTTTAAGTTTATCATTTGTTATGTGAAGTTGGCGGCCAAGCTGCCTTTCTAATATGAGAAAATGTTTTAAAAATCTCATCATCAATTTACATATTATAATTAACACACACATATAATAAAATAGGTACACAAAAGTCATTATTTCAATGGTCGCCAAATTTATGAAGTTACTTAAAATGAAGATCAAAAGATGATTTTCAGGAAGGCTACCTTTAACAGTATATATCATATTTTTTCCCAGTACCTTTCATGCAAAAATTTTAATTGAACAGAATAAACTACGAGTATTGTTTAATATAAAATTCAAAATTGACAGAGAAATATAAAACTCATTTGAGCCGTGTCACGACAAAACCAACATAATGGGTTTGCGACCAGCATGGATCCAGACCAGCCTGCGCATCCGCGCAGTCTGATCAGGATCCATGCTGTTCGCTTACAAACCCTCTAACAAGTAGAGAAACTGATAGCGAACAGCATGGATCCTGAACAGACTGCGCGGAAGCGCAGGCTGGTCTGAATCCATGCTGGTCGCAAACCCATTATGTTGGTTTTGTCATGACGCGGCTCAATTTTATTGTTTAATGATATACTTATAAACTAAATATTGGACAAAAAACTCACACAGGCGAAAATGACTTGCAATAAATCGTAAAAGTCTCCCACTATATAGACGTTGTCTAAGAGGGTTGTTGCTAATGTTGCTATAATTTGTAGCCCTGTCCATTTGCACTTTACACATGTATCTCTTTGTAAATATTTGTTTTTGTATTAATCATGTATATTACATGTATTTATTTATAGAATACATGGAGTTGCCACAAAATATTATTAAACTAAACATTAACAGTATCTTTGTTACAGATTGCTGCCGATGCTTGTTTACATACACTATACGTGGTTGCATTAAAAATATACTTACATCACTTTTGAATAAATCTGAACAATCTTCTTCACCAGCTGGACACGGTATTGGTTCTGTTTTATCATCAAACAACGGTCCAACACAAAGTTTACATATTCTGTGACCACATGCTGTCTGCATTGAGTCCCGGAGAACATTTTTACAAACATGGCAACAGTGCCTGGGTTCTAGTCTAATAAAATGTGGAGTTCCCGAAGGAGTTGACTGAATAGATGAGTAATCACTACACATACTAAAGTCTTGAAATAAATCACACACTTATCTGTCACATATATTTGCCCCAAATACGATTTATTCGTACAAACAACCACAACTATTTCATCTATGGTCCTGATCCTATAAATCATTTACAGTGAAAAAGATTACATACATGTACATTGCATCACATGGACCTATATGAAAAAAATATGTGTTAAAGTGGAAAGACAAAACATAAATTCGGTTATTAGCAATTACAATGGATATCCTATGGTCAGTTTAGAAGTCATATCGAGTCCTATTTAAATACGGCAATATATCTCTTTTCCATCGGGTATTTAAAAGAGACATTTAGTTCACTTTTTCGATGTCAAGTTGATGTCAATAGATACGTCTATATTTCAAAAGACTGACCATTTTGATGGTGATTAATAAACTATCTAAAATATAAGAACACTGTCCACTCTTTTTATCAACTATGCGTAACCGATACATTCTGAAGGATATACATGTATTTATATGGATGTTTGTGTGCCACGTGAGTTATTGAATGTTCATTTCATTAAAAGTAGAATAACAAATTGAACAGAAATTGATAAATAAATTTTTAATAACAATTGCACTTGATACTCCACTTACATTATATCAAGAATAATTTTCTTGCTGGCAACATTTTCAAAGAGTAAGTCACCATTTGTAAAACGTTCTAATTTGTGCATCTCTATACCACAGGGAAATCTGTCATTATTTTATTAAATCTATATATATAATATAAACAAGGGATACAAGTCGTGGCCTCGCACTACCAGCACGGGTTCGTAAAATGCATTCACACGTGTAAACTGTATAAAATATCCTCTATTCCATCAAAGTTATTGTAGAAGTTGATATATGAACGAGTAATTACCCAAGTTCTTCTACAAACACTTCATTAAAACCTGTAACATTGCAGGAAATAGCTAACATTTCAATATTTACATTGGCTCTCAAGTTGTCGTCCATTTTGCAGGTGTGTTTATGTTCCGAGTATTATCATTGGCTGATGAAATCAAAGAAAGGTACAGGTTGTGAGATTATATGTATAGTTCCACCAATGCTTTCCAGCGTTTTAATTGTAGTAAATTGGCTATAAGACTAATTGCAACACTGATATTCAATCCAATGTTTATTTGACTTAAACAATTTGAAAAAAATGAGTTGCCTTTACTGGTATTTGAAATCCTACCTCTCGCTTCCTAAGCGAGCGCGAAAACCCTTCAGCCACGGTGAATTTATTTGTGAACGGCCTGAAGAAAACCATATTATTCTAAATTAGGGCCTGTAACGACTTTAACTGTTGTTTAACACAGATGTAAATATTCCTGGAGCTTACTGTAAGCATGTATATTTATAAAGAATAAAAGGGCTGCAAGTTCTGTGGTATTTTCTGATCTTTGCTATCTAAATCGTACTGTATATATGTATGTATTTTCCTGTATAAGTTTATTTTTATGTATTATAATTCATTTTGCAAGGCACCAGAGTTTGATACATACGGAATTCTGCATAACTAGAGTTGCATCAAAATATCATTTATGTTCATTTTTTACGACAGCTACACTTTATCCTTGCATATCATGGCTACTTCCTTAACAAAGACACTTAAAAAAGAATTAAAAAAAAAAGTTTCCTCGACTTGGATTTGAACTCCAGACATCTCACTCATTAAGCGAGCGCGTTACCACTGCACCACGGAGAAGTTACACAAACAACAATTGAATAATTTCAAGTCATTCTAAATTTAGAACTTCCATTGCATTTCGGGTTTGTAATCCTTATTAATTTCGAGGTATTTTGTTCAGGATAAACCTGTTATTTAAAATTGAAGTAGTTAATTTAGCGAAAATCTTCTCGCCCAAACAGTCCGACATGTAGAATCTATATATTCCACTACTCGGTCTGTGTAGTATTCGGTAATCGACATCGCTAAAATAGTATTTTCATTGATAAAATCATATTCATCCGCGTAATTTGTGATTGTGCATTTATTGACAATTCTATAAGCCAACGCTATTTTTAAACTTTGAATGCGTTGTAATTTGTTGGATACTTGTAACAAAATAAAAATATTTCTTTCTTTTAAATCGCTAGTTTTAAGCTGTTTTGAGAACTACTTGTTGTTAGGTTCGTCGTAAACTTCTGTGTCAGAGATTGAATGTCCGCTTTGTCTTTACTTATTTTTGATCAGAAAATACAATAAAACAATATTAGAAATATTCGATCATTCGGGAATTATTTTGCTTGAAAATTAATGTGCATGTCTTTGACCATCTTTACGCAGTGATCTCCCCTGAATTTTTCGGAGTTAGTGTACATATGAAGGGAAGTAACCGCTTCAAAAAAGTGGACTACTTTCGGCATTTGCAATTAACAGCATTAGACTCTGAAATTTCGCTACCATTATTTGTTTGGTCTGACGATCCAAACAAATAAAAAACCGCTATTGGTCGCGGCTATACGCTGTCATTATCCGAATTATATTATTCATTAGCCAATGAAATTGACAGTCACTAAGAGAAGTTGGGTTTAAGCATGGCACATAAGGGCACATTCAAAATGGAAGCCGAGGATAGAAATTATCAAAACAAACAATAATTGTTACAATAATTTGTACCAGAAGTTAATGATTGCATCATTGATGGTGGTAGATGATTGATTTTTAACTGATTACATGATTAAATTTTTTAATATGAGCATACATTTGCATTAGATATGGTTTTACACGTGCAATTTTACATACCAAAATTTTACGAACGTGTGGCAAAATGAAACAGGAAATGTTAATTAGTCCCCTACCGGTTTACCGGAGGGGACTTTAGGTTTACCCTCCGTCCGTCTGTCCGTCCGTCCGTCTGTCCGTCCGTCTGTCCGTCTGTCAGTCCGTCAGTCCGTCCGTCCACAAAACTGGATCCCGCGATAACTTGAAAAGTACTGAAAATATTTTTATGAAACTTGGTATATGAATAGATGGCAGTATGGAGATTATGCACGTCTTTTTCTTTTCTTCCTATGTTGAAAATTCTGGTTGCTATGGCAACAAATAGGCTGAAAATATGGCAAATTTTACACATAAACTGGATCCAGGGATAACTTGAAAAGTACTGAAAATATTTTTATGAAACTTGGTATATGGATAGATGGCAGTATGGAGATTATGCACGTCTTTTTCTTTTCTTCCTATGTTGAAAATTCTGGTTGCTATGGCAACAAATAGGCTGAAAATATGGCAAATTTTACACATAAACTGGATCCAGTGATAACGCCAAAAGTACTGGAAATATTTTTATGAAACTTGACATATGGGTAGATGGCTTTCTTGAGATTATGCATGTCTTTTTCTTTTCTTCCTATGTTGAAAATTCTGGTTGCTATGGCAACACATAGACTGAAAATATGGCAAATTTTACACATAAACTGAATCCAGTTATAACTCAAAAAGTACTGGAAATATTTTTATGAAACTTGACATATGGGTAGATAGCAGTCTTGAGATTATCCATGTCTTATCCGTTCTTCCTATTTTGATAAAATATCAGTTGCCATGGCAACAAATAGGCTTAAAACATGGCAAATATAACAATATTTGTGATTAGTCAAAAAGAGCTGAAAATTTTTATGAAATTGCATCTTTAATTCAAGAGTTATCTCCTCTTTAAGAATTTTGCTTTTAAAATGTTATATTTTGGTAACAGGGATGTTTCAAATATTAACTTTAGAGTGTCCTTCAGTCCGTCTGTCTGTTCATAAAAACTGTTTCCTGTGATCACTTTTAAAGAACTTTTCCAACAAATTTACTTAAAATAGAGAAAAATTGAAACATTGGTGAATGGCCAATGGCCCTTCAGAATGTTGATGGGGTTCTAACCGGTAGGGGACTTATGGATTGCTTGCAATACTATGATAATTGCTTGTTTTAATAATATCTTGTCCATGTATCTAAGTGAATCATTTTTTGGAAATTATCGGTTCTTGTATGAATGTCCAACAATCAAAAGAAAAAAGCTGTCGTATACTGCGTTCTATTTACTTTTTAATGAATTGAGCAATTTTAAGTTGTATCCCTTGTTATATTATATATATATATATAGTGTGTGTGAAAGAAAAAAATGACAGAATCCCCTGTGCAGCACATCTGGTCAAACCCAATGGCCCGATTTAATCGTGCACCCATTCTTTTTAAAACCGTACTAGTTCATCATGTTCATTATATATTTCAGACCAAATAGATTTCTTACGTAATAAAAAGGATATTGTTCAACTGAATTGAAATGTGTGTAAAATATTAAATATGTCTTTGAATTTTGCTTATTATGTATGTACTATTTTATAGCTTTGTGTTGCTTGGCTTATTGTATGTCCTGTAATCAACACGTATTTTCTCTTGTATTTGTATGTATACAAACAGAGAATCTGTAAATTAAAATATTGCAAAAATAAAACTTACTTTGACATTTTTACCTTTATTCTCAACATTTACACTTAGGCGGGCATTGCGTTATTTTTAGCAAACTGCAGTACTCATGAACCTTGGTACGAGATAGGTTAAATAATTGTGACTGATTTAATCAAACTCCTCGCAGCGGTAATTTCCCCTGATCAGTGCAGTTAAAGTAGCAAAGCGTGACGTAACCGCAAGGTTCAACAAAATTATTGTTCATGTTAATATATATTGATGTACTACACAAACTTATACTGGACAGTTAATTATAGAAAATAACAAAGAAACAATATTAAAGGTAATTACCTGCCAATGTAATAGTCTTTTATCTTCCAATAACAATGTTTTATATCTTTTAAGATGCTTTATGTTTATGATCCGTTCTTCTCTTAGACATGCGCCTGTAAAAAAAAGAAAAATTTAAAAATGTATCAACTCACTCGAGAATTATCTTCCCTTTGATTTTTTTTTTGTGATTTTGTGATAAGTTTTTATATGTGTTTAACAAAGTGCAAAACATAATATTCTTTTGACAATTAATTTTCAATCTGCATTGGTTTAAGTCTTTTACTTCATTTTGAATTGGTCAAATATTTATCATAACTGATTTTGATCCTTCTTCACTAAAATATTCTTACTTTTACAAAATATTTCAGAG